GGAAAGGTGGTTGTGGATGCAATATAGTAGATTAGTCAAATCAAAGGATGATTAATATAATTGGAGAAAAAAAAAGATAGAAAGATTCCAAAAATTAAATTAGTTTTTTTTTTTAATTAAAAAAAACTAATTAATTTCAAAGAAGGGTCCAATGCAAGATCTGGGGCTCCCACATAAAAAGAGTGGCAATGATTGAAGTATGGTAGTAATTGAATGGCTCCATTTTGTGTTGCTTTCATTTTAAAATACACCTTTTTCAATTTGAAATTTCAGATTTTGTGGATGTTTATATATAAAAAGTTAGTGGAAAAACTATGAAAATTGTCCATTAGCATATGGAGTGGAGTCCTATATATTGATTTATTTTATTAATCCTAAGTTTCTTTCCTCAATATATGCATGCAGTCAACTATTTGAGGCTCTTTGCATATTTAACTTGAGCTAGGTTGAAGCATGTTCTCTTTAAACGGGGAATCAACTTAGAACTTGCGATTTAGATCATAAAATTTTAAATTTTTACTAAAAATATGATTTGGGATTCCAAACATGCTTTTAATATTTTTGGTTTAAAACTTGATTTATAAGTTTATCTTTTATTTAAAAAATTAGAAAAGATTCATTAGTATAAATTTTGAAGAAAAAAAAGTTTGCTCTACGTAAAAAGATTATTTGTACCATGTGAAAAAATAACTAGTTAATACTGTTATTGAGTAGTGAATCTTTATAAAATTATATGAATTTGAAAATCTGAATCATATATACTTATTTGGAAATATATATATAGATATATATACATATTATATATGATCTATGTTGTTCGGAATATTCTAAATCTGAAATTTTTTTTTTTCTTGGTCAAATTCATACTATAAATGATATATCGCTACTTATTCTATTGAATATACATTAAACACATCACTATTAATTGTTTAGAGTTGGTGTTTGGGTTAACTTGTAAATGTCTTGATCAATTTTAAAATATATTTGTTATTTCACATTACACAAATACTTAGAATGACTTTACTCATCAAAACTTTAAAATATATGAAAACAAATAAACTAGAGATAGAGTATTTGTTATTGTGGGAACATTCTAAAAGAAAGCATGCATAAATACTCAACCCATTGGATTCCCCAATATTTTCTTTCTTCTTGTCCCAATTAAGCAGTACATTGCATGGCTTTCAATGCAAGTCAAAGGGGGAATGAGGCATTAAAATAGATTCATCAAACCCAATGTTCCAATTCAAACACAATTAATGTAGAAATAAAATATACTCCATATACAGTAGCTCCTTAGTTTTATTTTATAGAGTAATAAATGAGTAAGGTTACGATTTAAGAAAGTATTCGACTAATTTAAATTTATATTATGAAGATTATGGTAAAAGAATAAATATTTTTTATTCAGGATTTAAATTTAAATTTTTTTTATGATATCAAATTTTTAGTGATAAAAAAGGTGTTTATAAACACACTAAACAAGAAGCATCATCTTCAAAGCTAGGAATTGCACCACAATTACTTAATCTTTTATAAATAAACATATTTTTATGCATAGACATACATATGAGTTGGTCCACCTTTGAGAGTTGAACAAATAATGGTCTATGAATGGGAAAATTTTCAAGAATTTCATTTTAATTACACTAGTACATTATAGGGCATTTCCCTATGTGGGAATCTAAGTTGTTAGTCAAAACTTTTCCCATGTGCTCTTATTAGAAAATTCATAATATGATTTCTTTGTATCTATGACTTGCTTCTTCAAAAGCATAGAAATCTCCCTTTTGAAAATTAACCACTCTTTTCATGTTTAATGTATTTTTTTTTTCCTTTAATAAGAGTAGGGGGTGGGGTGGGTGGTTAACTCATTGTGAAGTGTATGTTGTACCCTTTCTAGAAGGCTATATGATCCAATGTGTATGGGTAAGTAGTTCTTGTATAATTTTACTAGTGACTTTATTGTAATTTATTTCGATTAAAAAAGTACTTATTTTACCTAAACACTTTTTAATAGTTGATATTTTAATTTAAATATCTTTTTTTAATTAAGAAACTAAAAAAGTTTATGAACTTAGAAAGTTACAAACTTAAAGTAAGTGTATAAAAAATGAACTTTGGGCTAGATTATATATAACTAGATCGGATAAGTAGAGTGTGAATAATATTATATGAGGGTCAAATATTGAGTAAATAAAAAATTAAAATACCATGATATATACTAGTACTATTTAATAATTTAAAATTGGTCTAACTCAAGTAAAAAATTATTTCATGAAATAATGTTCTTATAATACCATATAAAAAGACTATCGCACCATCCAATACCGATGAGACTTCCAACATAAGCATCACCTCGTTTATTATTTAACCTTGCATTATACATAATTAATAAAAGAGAAAATCAGTTTCTTATTAAGAATTTATCTATTTCAAGGTTCAAAATCAATTTTTAAAAATTAATTAATACGAAAGAATTTCATCCATCTTATCTTCTTTTAACTAAAAAAAGTTAACAAGACGTGTTGTATACTATGACATGAACAATCAAACAAAATTGTGGTCATACAAATTAAAAATAACAGTAGCAAAGATCCTTACGGAATGAAAAAAAACCTGGATTTGTGTAAACAACAAAAAGGGCATAGTATTTTATTGCTGGATAAACAAATTGCTTTTTCTAAGCTATAAATATAAATAAAAGTACACTCCCCTACCAACTAAAAATCTAATCGTATCATAAAGTATTATGTAATCTTTAATTAGAAAATTTATTACTAAATTATTTATAATAAAAAATATTCTAATTTAATATAAAATTTATCATATAAAATTAATTTAATACAAATATAAAATATCGAGCGGAAAAAAAAAGAAAAGGAAGAAGGTCCCCCCGCAGCAAGGCACGAGGATTGAAGAAGTGCTACAAAAAAGCTGCATTTTCGTGGCTTCTTTTCCTTTTAATAAGTAATGTATTTATTATATATATATATATATATATAAAAAGGTCCTACCAATCTTTTTATTATCTCAACTAAGTTGCAAACTCACAAAGGACAATGCCAAACGTGAAGTTAAATAATCATTTAATTCTCTTTTTAGTTAAGTATTACTTAATAAATAAATAAAAGGTTGATTTATGATAACTAAAAGCTCATTATACATTTGGATCGTAGCGTTTTCTTGCTAGATTACAACCATTATGTATTCATCATATTGGGATCTCATTAGATTCATGATTGGAAGGTGATGACTATATATTCTTCTAGTTAACATAAAGTAGTAAAGTACTTTACCTCCTTAATTTATAACAATAATCAAGTTGCTAATATGAATTTAATTATTTTCCCATATAATTGTTGTTATTAGTAATATGTATTACCTTCGAAGGAAAGAGAAGAGATTAGAATTGTCAATTACTCCTTCAATATCTTATACACGAAAATATTACCAATTGAAAATTTAAACCGAAGATTATAATTTTTACAATAGTTACAAGAAAAAATTATCTAATTATACAAATATTTTTATTATATTTACATCTTTTTTCTTTAATTGAAATGATAATATATTTTACTATTTCGTATCAAATTTCAAGTTAGACAATACACCTTGATACATATTTTATTGCTATCAAACATAGAGAGAGAGGAGAGAGAATTTTTTTTTGTATTTCAAATACATGGAAATCACACTAGATAAATGTATTTGACATGTATCATGGTTACAATATATATATAAAAAATTATACATAATTTTAACCATATATATCTGAGATATATGTATATAAATATATCTGAATGCACTAAATACATATATTTAAAATCCAAATTATAATAAAATTCATATTATTACATAACGTATATATAAATAATTACCTTTTAAACTAGTAATATTTCCATAGATTGTCATATATATTAAATGTCTGCATAAGAACCAGATTTTATAGTATAATATCTCCAACAAAAATTGAATATTATGATTATTATCTTTCAAACCTTTTTCTTTTGGAAGGATAGAAAAAAGATATATATTAATAAAAATATAAAAATAAAGTTTGAAAGTGAGAATGATTGACCAGTAACTTTACTATCCCTTCGAGGCCGTAGATTGACTCATCTCCACCCTCACGTGCGATTCTTCTTTGACGATAAGATTAGATTATTATTATTATAACGATTAATTAAATAATTAGTTATTATAATGATTAATCAATAAATTATTATATTATTAATTAATTATATGTAGTAAGTAATTTTATTATTTAATTACTCGTAAATGTCCTCTACAGTTCATCTTGACACCTGTGCCACCTCCTTTAATAATCGCCGACTATTGCTATTGGCCAATTTATTTATTTTTATTTGGCTTGAAAAAATATTAACAGAATCCTTTATGATTGTTCATTGCTTTAATGATGGTATTACAAACTTTAATCAAAAGGGATTTGACTAAAAGTGCAGATAGATGCTAGCATCAACAATTTTAAAACATGTTTATAAATTCATATTCGTAATTAATATTAAAAATGCCACAGTAGACTAGTTCTCTACGCCAAATAAATCTCACGGTAGTTAGTTTTCAGTAATTCTTTCTCCAAAATATATATTATTAATGTTATAGTTTATTTAAAGAAAGTTTATATATACTATTTGACACATAATGTACCTTTGATATATAAATGGTGAGTTAGCACTTAATAATTAAGCAATAAATGACTTATATATTTACATTTGTCGTTTTAATATTGTTTTTTTACTACTTAAACTGTCTAAAGTATGTGTAAATCAATTTCAAAACTGTAAAAAGTGGTTAGGGGTAAAGTTTGTTAAGATTCTAATGACTATTATAATTAGTACTCCTACTAAATACAATTAAAAAATTAATCTCAATCAGTGACAAAGATGTAATCCTCTATTAGCGTCTTAAATGATTCCCTTAATCCCTACCATCCCCTTATTATAAAATTCCCATTTCCTCTTCCTCTTTTTTCCACACAAATCCATTAGCCTCCACAACCTCCATAACTATTTTCTCTCTATCAGTTTCTCTGTATACTGCTTCTTCTCTTTTTAGAGTAGAAAAATCGCAGGCCTAGAGTTGTACTAGTTTCGCCTTTTTGTGTTCTGAATCACTGTAAAGTGTGTGAGGTTTCGGCTATCGCATCAACAACAGTCAATAGCAACTACTTTCTTTTTTTTTTCGTTTTCGGTTTTCCCAATTGTTATGGTGTATGGACCACTAGTACTGCAAAAAGTTGTTTTCTGTGAAAGCAATTTCTGGAAGGAAAATCAAGCATAGTGTGTTTGTTGTACAGCACTACTGTAGTTACTAGTAAAAAACCACTGTATCACATAGAGAGCGTGAAAAATTAACCAAAAAAATGCTTGAAACGGTGAAGTACTTGCTTGGTTCCGCCGGAGCTAGCGGTTACGGTTCAAAATCCACTGCCGAGAACGTCACCGAACAGTCTCCTGATCTTCGGTCGGTCACCGCTATTATCACTGGTAAGGATTTTCATTGAAAAAAATTGATTAAATGAAATTTTACCTCATTTCTGATCTGAGCATGTGACATATGCAGGTGCGACGTCAGGAATTGGAGCGGAGACGGCGAGAGTTCTGGCAAAACGTGGTGTTAAGCTGATTTTACCGGCGCGTAGTGTAAAAGCGGCAGAGGAAACAAAAACTCGAATCCTATCTGAAGTGCCGGAGGCGGAGATCATCGTTATGGCTCTCGATCTTAGCTCTCTGAGTTCCGTACGGAATTTCGTCGCTGAATTTGAATATCTGAATTTTCCTCTCAATCTTCTCATGTAAAGCTTCATTCACTATAATTAACCTCTTTAGTTCCGATCAGCTGTGTATATTAGTGATTAGTTTTCTAATTTTATTTAGAAGTCACGTTTTATCTGTTTGATTGCAGAAACAACGCCGGAAAATTCGCTCACCAGCATGCCATTTCTGAGGATGGAATTGAGATGACATTTGCTACTAATCACTTAGGTAAATTTTCAACTGTTTTCTCTCTCGTTTACATGCATGTGAAAAAGTTTTTTGATACCGATTAAATTAATCATTCATTTTTTAAAATTTATGTGTGCCAAACTTCAGGCCATTTCCTTTTAACAAAGCTTTTACTGAAGAAGATGATCGAGACGGCTAATGAAACGGGCGTTCAAGGAAGAATAGTGAATGTATCCTCAAGCATCCATGGCTGGTTTTCCGGCGACTCGATTCAGTACCTCCGACTGATCACTAAAGACAAAAGGTGAACTTTATTCATTATTATCTCTTCCGTAACCGTTTTGAAAAATCGGGGAAAAGTACAATGCGTTACTTTCATAGGACTTTGTACTGAAATAAATGCATTATTGGTAGAAGATAATATAGGATTTCAAAGTATAATATATATTCGTGTATTCACTAGTATTTCTGAAAATAAAATATAATATTTGTATATTGAAAGACGTTTTTATAATATTATATATACACGGACTACTGGCCTCTTGCAATTTTTTATTATCTGGATTTAAGATTTGACTATGTAAAAAATTCGCAAATTATTTGAAAGTTAAATTTATATCTACTATCGTCATTGTATTAAATTAAATCTGAATGGATTTAGACTAAAATATATGAGGTGGTGTTCAACCATGATTTGTTAGTAAACTTCAACTGACTTAACAAAAAGACGTAGTTAATTATGCACAGTCGAAACTTAAAGTAGGGTTAGATTTATATCTCATTTTTGAGCTTTAAACGACCGATTTTTTTTAAAAAATCATTTCATTATGAATACAAATTTAATCGAGTAATAAATTAAAATTAAAAAAAACTATTGGAAAAGAAGTAAACATAATTAGCTTGATTTAATTGTGAAAGAGAGTAATTTGTCTTGTTATTGGACAGTCAATACGATGCGACACGTGCATATGCTCTCTCGAAGCTGGCTAATGTTTTGCACACCAAGGAGCTGGCTCGGGTATTGAAAGTAAGTCCAAAATTTTCTCTCTCCTTTTTTTTTAAAAAAAGAAAAAGCTTTTCGAAAAAAATGTTATTTATTGATTTAGGAAAAAGTGAAATTTGTTGGCTTGCTCCTGATTCATTAGAAGATTGAATTATTTGTTTGCGTTAAGATACTAGAAATTAAATTTAGATGTCTTTTTGTCTTTTAAATGTTGCAGAAAACGGGGGCAAATGTGACAGTCAATTGTGTTCATCCTGGAATTGTAAGAACTAGACTCACTAGAGAACGAGAAGGCCTCGTCACTGGTACTTCTTTTTTTTTTTTCACCAACCATTAATTAAGTTGATTAATTTTTTTTAAGTGGATTTGATTGATCAAAATAATTTACAAAATCAAAGTTTACAAAAACTAGCTAGCGTGATTAGATACCTCGTTTGACAAAATAAAGAAAACAGCTTGAATAGTGTGGTTTAAAATTTAAAGTAAAATATATTATGTTCAAAATAATACCTCATGATTTTTGTTTTTTATAAATGCAGATCTGGTATTCTTTTTGACCTCAAAACTCTTGAAGACTATTCCACAGGTTAGTTTTCTCATACCCATCATCTCAAAATCTGCATCCTAAGGGAATCTAATATTTATATAGACATCAATGGTTGATTCTGTATATTGAAAAAAACATAACGATAAACTATATGCAAGCATGATTACTTATATGACGTTCAATGATATAAATTTCAGGCAGCTGCAACAACTTGCTATGTTGCTACTCACCCAAGACTTGCAAATGTGAGTGGAAAATATTTTGCAGACTGTAATGAAGTTTGTTCTTCAAAGTTGGGTTCCAATTCAACAGAAGCAGCACGCATATGGTCAGCTTCAGAGATCATGGTTGCAAAAAATTCAAATGCAAATTTAGATCCATTGGAGGCCAGCTTACTCTGACGCTCAAAGCGACTCGTTCCTTGGCTGCGGAGGATTTAAAACAGGCTATAAACAGAAAATAGTTAGTTCTTATATGGTGTAGGACTTCTGGCATAATGAGGAAGATATAAGTAAGTAGTTCATGTATAAAGGAAAAGTTTTTGCAGCAACATAAACAATATATATATATATATAATACACACAAACCTAGCTAGCTAGGAGTATGTTCATCTATATAGTAAGCTTAGAACTCCTATTATAATATGTACATTGGTTTTATTTGTTCGTTTAGTTTGTTAATGTTAAATTTTACCAGTCGTACAAAAAATGTGGTTGGGCAGTTTGTTCTACATTTAATTTGGTGAAAAATTGTGATTGGGCAATTCAATTTACATGTAATTGGTGTATACAGTTGTTATACTTATTTTAAAATGTTTAATTGTAGAATAACTCAATTTGCAAAAAATAATTAAAAGGATGTATTAATTGTTTTTAAGAGCAGGGAAAGAAATTTAAGAAAGATGGAATCAATAACATGGGTTCGTTAGTTTCCATGTGGATGATAATTTTTATTTTCTGGGGTATCTTTGATGGGTTAATTAGGGGCCTACTAACATGTATCAGGTGCTAAGGCAAGCGTGTGTGGAAGCTGAAAAATAATAGTATTAAATTAAAGGACAGAAATATCAGAATTATTATTTTCTAAAATATAAAATATACGAAAGTGATCTTATGTATGTGTTTAAATTCGAATACGTGGATGTTACCATATCAATTTTACATATTTAAGAATTAAGATCACAAGTTAGCAATAAATTTACTATCATCTAAATATTATGACATGTTAAAGTTCACTAGTGTCAAAATGCTCTATTTGTTCTTAAATTTCATATCGACTCAAATTAATTCACACAAGACAAAAGAATAAAAATTAATCATATTTACACTTTTACTTTGAAATTTAATTTAAATAAATCCTCAAAATTTGAGTATTTGATTGTATATAGCCTAACAATTACACTTTTGACCAAATTCATCCGTCAATCTATAAAAGGTTCAAACCTACCAATTAAATGGACACAGAGGATAATATATAATACATGTTTGAACACTCAGATCATGTATTCAAACTCAACCCAAAGTAATTTATTAGACAAATTATGTCTTATAAATTGAAACGATTTTTAATATTTTTAAAAATAGCCCATAATACAAGAATGGACGTTTGGAAATGGTGGACCAAATTTTACCACCCTTTAACCTAACAAGTTGATAGGAACCTCATCTTGTGCAATAATAATAAAACCAGCTTCTCTTCCACTTAAAGTGCCTTCTTCTCTGTATATATTTTTTTCTTCATAATTATGTTTTGATTCCACCACCATCTATTGTCTCAATATTTGTGTGGTGGAACATATTGTACCCCTTTCAACTTTAATTTATTTAAATTGGGGAAAAGGTAAATTTTGTTTGATATGATGTTTCCTTTTTAATTGTTGGAAAGATATATGAGTTATATTTATTTATGTGACTATTTTCTTAATGGTTAATTACTAGTTAATTAACCATTAACGAAATAGGTGGACTTGCTCATAGTCGACACTTTAGCTTTGCTCCGGTTCCATTCGATCATTCTGAATTTGAATTAGAGACTTCACTTTGGAATAAATTATTATATTCGTGATTCAATTAATCGAGTTAACTTAAACGGTCTTCCACCTATCTGATCAAACTAAAATATTCAACGAATATATAATTTGTGTATCATCATATATGATCAATGTATAATATGTGTATAGTTAATAGAAAAAAATAAACAGTATCTCTACCTGTAATGGGCTTTTACATAAAGAGAATGGACATGGATTACTGACTTATGGGCTGTATATTATTTTGGGCTTTTCTATTCGGCCCAAACTCCTAAATTATGGGCCCATTTCAACCCAACACAGGTAACAGCAAGAAATCTACTGCGAATGGAAGAAAGAAAAAAACCTTCGTAATGGCAGACTTTAAACCCTATATGCAGTGTAAAATTTCCCAATTTGCCCATTAATAGCTGCCGGAATTTCGCCGGAAACTGCGAGGAGTCACCAGAAATGGCGTCAATAGTATCGGAAACCGTTCCGAAGTTCACCGCGGAGGCCCTCAAATCCGCAGCTAAACAATCTGAACGTTGCCATATTGTTCCTATCCGTCTTCGTAGAGCTATCAAAAAGTATCTCCGAGGTAAAATTTCAATCCTTTTTCATATACTATACACGTCAATTTGAACATTAATTTCGATAGAATTTGCTCGTTTAGAGTTTTTGGCTGAAATAGTAACTTAAGTATTGCAATTCATACTCAAAATATCACCTTTTAGCTTACATAATCCTTCGAGCATGCAAAAGTTGAATTACTTTTTTTTTAATTAACCGAAAATTAGCTTCTTTCAGCTGGCCTGTTCCATTCTTGTGTAATATTTTAAGTCCCAATTTACAAATGAGGAAGGTAGGGATCAAGCTTTAGTGTTAACTTAAATTTTTCTTGGATAATAATCTCGATCATTTTAGCAGAGCCACTGTTAAATTGTGATATTATCGATTTTGCCAGTATGTTTTCCCTTATTTGTTAGGCAAGTTCTTGTTTTACGTTCAAGAGCTCGGTAGCTAAAAGCTTGGGATGTGTTTGTTTGCCTCTTTTTTTCGCTAGAGTTGTACTGATTTGATGTTATCGAGGAGAGGATATAAGTCATGCTGAGAATATCTTTGAAAACACACATGCTTATATGCTTCCTTCACATTAGCAGTCAACTTTGTCATATTGATAGCATTGCTGAGTACAGCTCTCTTTCTGATGTTGCCATACCATCTCTGGTTTTACATTAGCAACTTCGCTTCAAATATTTGTCCTTTTTTCTTTTGAGATGAACTATCTGTTGGTTGCTTTCTTTGTGATTTTTGTATGTCTGAGGAGATGAGAAGGTTTGTTTTTCAATCGTCTTTATTTGTGAATGCTAAGGGAAACTTGATAGTTGTTGACCGATTGATGCATTTTTGTTTGATCTCTCTCTTTAAGTTTTGTTTTTTGGTTTGATCTAATCTATTGCAGAGCAAGAGGAGCCACATATGAAGAGAAAAGTGTTGAGGTTATCAGAATCTTTCAGCCAAATAAAGGAAGTGAATTTGATGCTTCCAACCTCCACATCCAAGGAGCTTTTTGAAGATCCTCTCAAGTCTGTTGATTGTTCACAGCGGTGGAAAATCAAAAGTGCCTATGGTGACATTGGCCTCAAGTATAGGGATGATGAAACACTAGCCTATGTGGCGTCCCGTATGCCTGCTGTCTACTCGGCTCTTTATAGAGTTCTTAGTGAGGTGTATAAATATTATATTCTATTGAAATGCCTTGCAGAATCCTTATGATGTTTGGTTTTGGAACATGAATGTAGATTTTGGTTGCTAAAGTGAGTGCTTTAATATGATTGATTCCATTTAGGTACGCAGAAGATTGCCTGGTTTTTCACCTGCTAAGGTGTTGGATTTTGGGGCAGGGACTGGTTCTGCGTTTTGGTAAGTTGATCTGATATTTTGTTGGTTAATTATCATCCCCATGCGTTAATTTCTGTTAGACCCTTTCGTTAGACAAGTGTTACATTGTGTGGTTATGCAGGGCAGTTAGAGAAGTGTGGCCACGTTCATTGAGTAGAATTAATTTGGTAGAGCCATCACAGTCCATGCAGCGTGCCGGACAGAGCCTTATAAAAGGTACATTCTGGTTTTCTATGGACTCCTTTTGGTCTGGAAAAAATTAAGACTTTTTGTACATGTGTCTTCGATTGTAATTAATAGTTATGGCTACTTCACTGATCAGCTCGTTCAATTTTCTGAGTCACTGACTTAGTTGGAAGTGTGTCTGTATGTGTATGTCTTATTAAATTTCTGCATAAATCAGATTCATCTTTAAGCGACTATGCCATACCATGTATAGCTAGTGATGTTATGAAGTTCTGGCCTTGCAAATTGTTGTCTTATCAGATGAATGATTTTCAAGAACATTTTTTGTGCTTTAAGATTCTGGGCAGTGCATCTTCCTATGAATGAAACTGAATGAGCCTCATAAACTACCACCTGAGATGTCATATCTTGAAGTCATTTGTTGTTGTCGTCCCTGGGACATAATGTGCCATTGTGCTGCATGATAAGGTAGTGACCAGTTATGTTTTAGTACAACCAAAGTGTTACTGCGCAAGTGGTTTAGGATCGCTTCATATTACTTTACATTACCTTTTCAAAGAATAAGAGGCTTGCTTTCACATTGGTCTCCAGCAGTTTTCAATGCTCTAGTTTTGATGTGTCCAAACCTATTACCTGTTCGCATATATTTTAGTTACTGTTCAACTGCTGTAATTAGAAAATATGAGGCTGATAAAGATGGCAAAATATGTCCTGTAATTGCTGTAGGTCTTAAAAGTTTGCCACTCATTCAAAGTTATGGAAGTATTCAAGCACTCTCTCAGGATGTCAAAAAGAGTGACAGACAACATGATCTTGTGATTGCTGTAAGTACAATCTTATAGTGGTGTTGGCTCCTGAAATTTGTGAAGGAATTTCCCCAGTTTTTCGTACTTCTTTCGCATCCTCTGAATGCTCTCATTAAAATCCTTCATCACTTCGTCTAAGAAAATAGTGTTATTTTGTTGTGCTTTATTTTTCATTGACAAAAAAATATATAGACGCTATCCTCTGTTAGATCCTAATTGATTTTGTGAATATTTTTGGTGCTGAAATTTTCAACTTTGTTTGACCGAAGTCGTATGTACTCGGAGAAATTCCATCTCTGAAGGACAGAATCACGGTTGTACGCCAGCTTTGGGAACAGACAGGAGATGTTCTGGTATGTTAAAATGCATTCTTAAGCTTTATATCTACATGATTAAGCATACTCCATTCATTATTGATGATTTGAAGATTTATGGGGAGGTGAGAAGTCAATACTTTCAAAGATTTAAGTTGATGAATTCTTAAAATTGTTGATAACCATTTGAAATAATATAAATGTTAGAATTGTGTAAAGTATTTGGTGCATCCTGGAATGAGAAGTGTGTATACAAATTTGACAAGGGAAGGACGTATTAAGCGCAAATCGTATAATGCCTTTATTGCTGTAGGATTTGATTTTTTTTAATTCAATCAGAAAACTCTGATAGCTTCTCAAATATATAAATGCATATCGAGCGAAGATTACTCCTCTTTCTAACCGTGTGAAGGACAACGAGGGTCAGGATATATACAGTAAAATTACTGTCACATTTTTGCAGTTTAAATAACATAGACTTCACTAGAGAGGGGAAAGTGAAAAGGTAAATGAGGAGCTGCATGCGTAAAGAGAGAGACAACTGTGTAAAAGAATCATATCAAGGTACTCATCAAAAACAATTGACTACTGAATGAGTGAGGGGGAGGTGATGGTTGTTGCTCTTGTGTAGAAGTTTTTGCATGCTATTGTTACCAGACTGATAGCATGATCATGACATTAGAATTTTTTGATACGACTGAATTCCTTTTTGAAGGTGGCCAGCATTTCCTTAGTGCTGAAGAATACAAATTACCAATTCAAAAAAAATGATAATCTTACTTAGACAGCTGTTGGCTGAAATATTTATTTCTTATCTCTTTACAAAACATTTTCTATTTGTAAGAAATATGAATGTTATTTCCCTGATGACAATGTGCTGTTGAGCAGGTCCTGGTAGAACCAGGAACACCACAAGGATCTAATATTATATCTCAAATGCGATCTCACATTCTATGGATGGAGAAAAGGGTAAAACTCACTATTCGGTATTTGCTTGGAGTGGTCTGGTTTATACGAAGTCGGAATGTGAATTCTTAATGATCTTTTTGCTTTGTTCTTAAATATTAACTTTGTAGAGAAGCCGCAAACTAGAAGGTGTATCTGGCAAAGACTCTAAAGCATTGACGACACTAAAGAATGGGGTATATATAGTTGCTCCGGTAAGTATTTTAAGTTTGATGATATAATGACTTGAATAGATTGGACTACATTTTTCTGTATGAATTGATTTACTCTTTTTTTAAAAAAAAATTGCAGTGTCCACATGACGGACGTTGTCCTTTGGATAACACTGGAAAATATTGTCATTTTGTTCAACGCTTGCAAAGGACAAGTTCGCAACGTGCCTACAAGGTTTGCCTCATATTCCTGTGCCTCCTAAAGCTAGATGAGCTCTCTGAATTTGATGAAATCTCTTCTTACCCCCTCAAATCTTTGCATAGGGTCAGATATATTCTATTATAAGTTCCCAGCTAAGAAATTGATCTCTTCTTCGCTTCTGGAGTGAATTTGCCTTTTTGGTTTGTACTTGGGTTTGAATCATGTTTTTTTTAACTCTGATGCCATTGACTTGTAGAGGTCGAAAGGAGAGCCTCTACGTGGCTTTGAAGATGAAAAGTTTTGCTTCATCGCTTTTAGACGAGGAGAACGGCCAAAGCAAGTTCTTCTTCAAGAATACGGAATGCCAATTGTTAATTTGTTTTTAGCTTGTTCCATCATTACCATTGTGAAGTGCAAATTTTCACTTTTTATTTTTATTTTTTATTTTCGCCATCTTCTTAAAGTCTCCATTGAACTAATTTCTTTGTTTTTCAAGCAGAGAGCCTTGGCCATTGGATAGTATGAAGTTTGAGACATTGAAGGAGCAGCATGCCAGAAGGAATCCAGAGGATTTAGAAATTGACTATGGTATTTGCTATCACTATTAAATCTCAGTTTTGCTTTGCCATGTTAAAACATCTACATTCATTTACAAAGTAGTGACATTTCTCCTTTTATTTCAGAGGACCAATTCATCTCAGAAGATGAGGGTATTGAGGATGAAGTAGATCATGTCACATATGATTCCGATGCTACAGAAACAGATGCTGTTACTGAAAATGATGATTGGGAGGAAGAAGGTGAAGAAAGGACCCATGCCGATCTTGGTGGTGGTTGGGGAAGAATTATATACAGTCCTCTACGTAGGGGTAAGCGGATTGAAATGGACGTTTGTCGATCAATAAATCAAGAAGGCAGTGAAGGGTCATTTGAACGGATTGTTATTACAAAGAGCAGAAACCCAACATTGCATCATCAGGCGCGAAGATCGCTTTGGGGTGACTTATGGCCCTTCTAAATTTTGTTAGAAAAATGGCACTCAAGGTGTTTGGTCCATCAGTAAGAGCGCAGTGTGATGTCTGAGTTAGGCACTCATCACAGAGTTCAAATGTCGCAACAAACAAAAGCCTGGTAGGAGGGGCACGTCTATAATCCATCAAGTCTCAAACTATGCTTCACTTGCCCTCAGTTATCAAAGAAATTATTTTTGTTAAAAATAGTTTCTTGAGTAATGTAATAAATGTATTTTCGTGTGTACCCATTTTCTGAAAAAGAAGAAAAGTGAAGTCAGATGGTTATTCTGATTATGACAGAGGATAAGATTGGGCCAAATGGCTCAAAAAGTAGAGTTACTGCATACATGTGAACCACATATGTCTTATTCATAATTCTTGTACGGAATCATGGAACAGTAAAAGAGTTCGAGTCACGTGCCAGCTTAGAAGATTGGTATGGAACAGTACTCTGTGTGAATCGCGGTTGTTTGATATGATGTATAAGAATATCGCTCGATATAGTGTATTCATAATGTTGAGATTATTACACATTATTTGTTGTCTTTACTTTGGACATATTTGTTCCTACTGAGCGTGTCACTATCGCATTTGATTTCTTTTGGTTTCTTCTTCACGAGACAAATTTACTTATTTTTTCTCTCATTGTAAGTAGCGCACCATGATTTGTGGCTGCTCTTTTTATGAACACACGTTTTATTCATTTTTATGCTTTTGTCGACATGCTAAATATTTCTTTGTCCTTTTGATATTATTATTATTATTCCTATGTTTTCGGGGATATCCACCTAACTTTGTGGTCCATTTTTTTAAAAATAATTTTTATCGCTTTAATATCAAATAAATTATAGTGGATGAAATGAATTCTCCTCATTGCTTCATTTAAGTTTGAACTATATCATCAATATACATCTTTTATGAAGATTTAAAATGTTTTTAATTTAACTTTGCGATCAACTATATCAATCAATATTACATCTTATAAGTTATAAGGATTTAAGATGTTTTATATTAAATATTTGCAAACTCTCTCTTTTATTTAACTTTGAGATGATGATACGAATAAGGTCATACAAGTAAATTTAAATCATAACTTTTGATTTTTTTTTATGTGTTTAGGATGTATCTTTTTTTTGTTTTAACGTAATTATAATACTTTCGATATCGCTTCAACAGAAATCTAGTCATAACACAAAAAAGTTGAGCTAAAAGCTAAAAAAACTATAAAAGTAGAAACTAAACAAATATACATTACTCGTTAATTTGAATTAGTCGGATCAACAAACTTTATAAAAAGCCTATCCAAACTAAAACTTACATTGAGAATTTTTGCTCCGTTTGATCTTCTTGAATTTCAGAAAGAAGTAGAAGATATTCTTCATATACTTTTTCCACCATATTATCATTCATTTCCACTTTGTTTGAAAAATTGCAGCTTTCTCCCATAAGAAATTCATCATAAAATCCACCCCCTTCAAGTAATTCATCAAAATCTAATTCCCTTGGAAATAACTTCACCTCTTTTTCCCTGTCTTTTCCATCATCAACTTTTTCAAAATTACTATTTGAGGAACAAGTAGTAGTACTCAATGTATCATTTTCAAAACTATTGTTCCTTGAAATCCCACAAGAAATCCTTATGGGCTTTGGTGCAAATACTTTTATCTTCTCAACTTGTGCAATTTGACCCTTCAACTTCTCATCATTGCTTTTCTTCCCCACTTCTTTTCTTGATTTCTCCTTTTTGGTTTGTTTTCTTGATTTCTCCTTTAATTTGGTCAAATTCTTGTGGGGTTTTGGTTCAATTCCTGTGCTTCTGAGCTTCTTGGTCAAATGCGTATTCCAATAATTCTTGATTTCATTATCTGTTCGACCAGGTAATCGTCCGGCAATTAATGACCAACGATTACCCAGAAGTGAATGTAATCTCACTATAAGATCTTCTTCATCTTCACTAAAATTTCCTCTTTTAATCCCTGGCTTTAAATAATTCACCCATCTTAATCTACAACTTTTCCCACACCTAAGCAATCCTGAAATATTTTTCATAGAATTACGCTAACGAGCAAGAAAATAAATACACTCATATATAAATACATATGGTACAACAAAAGTCATTTCATTCCGTAACGAGCAAGAACTATAACAGAATTTTCATAACAATAATGTATTAAACACACAAATTTTAAAGAAGAAAATTAAAATTTATTGTTACTATATATATTAAAAATAACTTGTATCGTATCAAACATCGAGAAAGGAATTAGAAAAAAGAAAAATTACCAGCATTTTTAGGCAAAGATCTCCATTGGCCTTCACCATATTGATTGATATAATTAGTAAGTAATAAATCTTCTTTAGTAGACCATGGCCCTTTACGCAATCCTTCTTTAGCACAACATGGTGCTCTTCCCATTTTTATTTTTTTTTGTGTGTGTTTTTTCTAAAGAAAAATTTTCAGAACAGAGAGAACTAAGAAGATGCAAAAATTAGGAGAAAGGTAGTGATCTTTTCGAAGCCGTGAAGTTGAAAGTACAAAAGCATTATTATTATAGAATATCGTTGATGCTGTTTGACTCGATATTTTATATTTTATTTATTTATTTATCTTGAAATTTATGATTTAAAATAAGATATACGTATTTGTGCGATTATAAATAATTTCATTGACAACTAACTGGAAAAAAAACAAATTATAACCAAAAGAGTATTTCATTAATCTAAACTCATGTTTATTGACAATATTAGTTAAAATCATTCAAATAAATTGATTTAATAGGTAAGAAAAGAAAAAATAGTAGTATTTTAACACAATAACATTAGCAAGTTTTTTTAATATTTCAGTGATCATGTGTTTCTCCACTGAGCTCGTTAGGTGAAAAAAATCATATTTTATAGTATAAATTTTTAATTGATTCATAATGAATAATAATATGTATATATAACTTACATCCTTATAATTATTGTAGTATGAATAGAATTTAAATAGTAAACACTATTTCATTAATATAAATAGCTGTTAACATCATCAAAATCATTTTTATTCGCCGTACTTATTAAATAACTATATGCATGACTACAAACTCATTTAAAGACACCTTAGATGATATCATAACTTTTTTAATACTAACGATATATATAATTTTAACACTTATTCTTTTTAATTATTTTTATCTAGTGTCTGAAATTTATATTAAAATTTATTTATATTACTTTACACCACGTAAAGCTCCAATTGAAAGAAAGTACTCGTTTCCAAAAACTAACACTTATCAATATTTATTATTTATAGCAAGGGAGAAACTAATAGAAAAGTAAAGGACAGTGCGATCAAGTTGTTTCTTATTAATTGAAAACTTACATTCAATTATTATGTCGTACACCTTTTTCAAAAAATACATTTCTTTGTAGAGCGCCAATCACATGCTAGCCAAAAAATAGTCTATCGTATAAAAAAAAGGGTCATTTTTACTAGTTTAGTTAAAAAAATATATATAATTTATTATTTTATTTTTATTATTAAATATTAATTATTTTTAATATTTATATGACTCATATATAGTAATGAGTGATAAGGTAAAATTATCATTATGTTTTTAATCTTTTTTTAAAGAATATGTCGAATTAAATAACATGGAAAGAAGTGCAGATGAATTAACTATTTAGTATTATATCATCTCGTTTAATCATAGGCATTCACCTTAACAAACTTTAAAACTCAAATGTTTTCTAATTAATATTGATGTATATCATTAAAAAAAATCTATTGTCTTTTACATGTGAAAGTTTAATATCTAATAAACGCTTGAAATCACACTTAATTCTTTTTTATTTCAAAATTTAATGAATTTATCGTCTTTCTCTTTTGAGTCAATCCATTTAAAAATTGAGATGACATGTTCACGTCATATTAAAGGTGGAGAAATTTTGAATCTCGACTAAAGATGCAGAAATTTTAATCATTTCACCATATTTTGTGATTAACAAAAAATATTTTTTTCTTTCAATTTATATGATAACATATTCTTATCGTGTATTCGAACATAATTTTTTTAAAAAAAATTGAAACAAAATTGAATACATGATATTACCATGAAAAAAATATTATAAATCATAATAATTTAAAAAAATTAAAAATTTAATATTATAAAATATCACTTTTAACTTTCAAAAAATTTTGAACAATATAAAAGTAGTAAAGAAGGTAGTTGTATAAACAGAGAATCTGATCCACCTCTGATACCCAACATGTGTCAACTTCAGTAAAATATTTTAATTGTGGCAGTTTTTATTTATTTATTTTATTAATCTAAAATGGACAACTTGATCTGTATGTGATATATTTATGTTGTGTTTAACTGTAAAATAAATAAAACTGATTTTTTATGAGTAATTTGAAGTGAAAATAGCTGTTTTAATTTATTTTTTGTAGTTTTTGGATTTTATATTTTGGATCTTTATAATAAAAAATAAAACGTGTTTTGAAATGGCTTGGGCTTTTTTATTTGTCAACAAACCCAACAGTTACAAAATCCAAATTTATGGTACCAAATTGGACCCAAATTCATCCACGTGCATGCATGTGCTATTATTAAACAAAAAAACATGTTAATTTAACCAGTGTAAAAAAAAAGAAAAATTTAACCTATAAGTTCAATGTAATGGACAGACAAAATTAGTACACAAAGAATGCGACGTACCATGGATCGCATTGTTATTATTTAAAGATTTGGAGAATCGTTGGATCAGAATTTATCACATGATAGAGAGCGAATTGATGAGGATAAGTTAAAAAGGTAAATCGTAAGCTAGTAATGACAGTAACACATATGTTTTTATTTGAATTAAATTATCACGTAATTTAAGAACTATTATATATAAGAATTATTGAGCCAAAATTACATAATACGAGTTTGGACTGCTACAAATATCAAATCAAAGTTGGACTCCAGCAGTAGAATGCTAGGGTTTAACAGGGTTGGTCAATGATTAGAATCGCTAAACTAATAAATTTTTACACCAATAATATTTTAGAAAAAAAATATAATTTCACGTAATATACGTATTTTTGAGCTTGATATTAGCGAGCTCAAAGAACAACAAACGATACGTATCACCGACTGGAATTACCGTTAACGATAATTTCTTATTCCAAATTTTTTTCATTGGTTTATTCAGATCAAATGAAACCATGATTAGACGTTGTGGACTAACAAAAATGTATCCTATTGGTAGGTCAGGGAAATATTATTTTTATAGTAACTTTTTGAATCTGTAGGATGACTAGATCCAGTCTATGAATATATATATATATATATATTACTATAACTTTATATATACCAACTATATTCAGAATCATAATGATTAGTAGTAAATCATGTGACCTTATTTTAAAAAACAATAATATATTTCCTTTGTTTTATTTTTTGGATTTTGTTGTTCTTAGTATTTGATTTTTTCTAGAGCTTATTCCCCTCTTAGCCGCCGTGTGTTCGAAAGGTGAATTTTTATTATTTGTTTGATAAATTTTTTTTTAAAAAAATAAAGTTTTTAAAAAATGATTTTTCTAATAAAAGTAAGCAAAATAGATTTTACCAGTGAGATTCACCCTAATACTTGTAACCTCCAGTAAACCTATGATAATATCTATCTATATTATATATAAATACTTTTAGAATTGTTAAAATGAATAAAAAGAAAGAATATCTTTAGTGCAAAATATTTTCTTTTTGTACCAAACCCAACTTGAATTGCTAACACCATATATCATCAATAATTACTTGAATCCGTTTTTTTAATTAATTATTTGCATTCACTTAAACCTCTAAGGTGTTTTCTACGTAGGTTGATATAATTATATGTGCCATGTCATATTTGATATAGTTAACTTAATTATGTAATATGGGTAAAAAAAAAATTGGGAACTTGAAATGATGTCTATTAGATCACTTTATTAGGACTTAGGAGTAATAGGCTTAAACAGGTATTATATATTAATAAACCAAATTAAAACATGTAGACAAGCCTAACACATACGATGATTCAGGCAATGATTTGATTTAAGTGAGGACAACATAAATTATGGACATTAGTGAAAATTATCTAAGAAGAATTTTTGGACTCTTTTGATATGACATAGCCACAAAATCTTCTCACTTACAATAATTTTGTCGTGGATCTAAATTTGAATCAAACTGAACAGTTTATTATTTCAAATTATTTGTCAAATTTTATGTGAATTTTAATTAATATATAACTTAATTTAACAGGATTAAACACTAGACTTTTTGAGAAGCGAAACATAATTTCGGAGAGAGGGAGCTAGTATTACACAATTATGAGTTGCATTCGTCAATTGAGTCTTTTAGTTGCATGATCACTTCGTTCACAAGCTTGTGTTGGTATTAGGAGGTACTAGTTATTTTAACATTTTGAAAAATCTTTGAGTCCTGATTTTAATATTTTAATTTTTTCATATTTGGTGTTTTGAAGAAAAATAAATTCTCTAGAAAAATGTTTTTTGAAACAAGAAAAGTGACTTCCCTGATGAGAATAGGGAAAACAAGTTCAATAAGTGATATTTCAAGTTTATTATCTCCACTCGCTCCCCAACTTATCCCATTCTTGCAGTGTTTTGTGAGACTACATTTATGAATGTTCTAGGGACAATATATATATATATATAAGTATTGACACAAGTTAAAGATTTAATGGGTGTTACTAGCCAATTCGAGATAACGATACCAACGATACAATACAAACCATCCAAATAATAAACCATTTATTTTCTAGAAAGATATATTCCATTCTCGGGTGTTCATGTGTGGTTAGATAGAGTGAGTTCTCAGAAACTAGTAGTGTGTATGCAAAAATTGGCAAGACTTTATTGAAAAAATTGAGCTGCATTTTGACTTCTTCAATGTCCAGCACTCTCTTGGTGCTGGATATTAATTGGAAAATAGTAATCACATTTAATTCAAACAAATAAAAGAATATGTATCTATACTAGTAGTAACCTATAAACAATAGGATCTCTTTCCCTTTTGAACGCAAAGACAAGAATTTAATCATAAATTACAAACAATATAGATTTTCAAAAACGAATTGGTAATCCATAGTTGAGAAATGTTCTAATACATCCATCCAGTCCAGCAGTAACAACCACAAGACCCCACAGATGAGGAGAGCTCAATGCACCTTGCCAAGCACTTTTCAAGAACTTGTACTCAGACTTGCATACCGATGGGAAGACAGTTACTGGACTCGAAGAATTAGGCAGTTTCTCCTCTGGCCATGTCGCGGAGCCCTTAGTTAGAGAGTCTACCAAAAATGTACGCCCTAGGGAGAAACAATCGGACGCCCTTGGCAGTGAGTTCCTGTTGACATTTCTGTTTTCTAAAATACTACTTCTAGGTAGCGTTCCTGGATTTGTGTTGAAGCCCGACCAAGGTAAGGCAACTGATGCGTTGTTGGAAAAGAAACTCTCTGATGACCGGACTTTTTTCGGTTTGTTTGTTCTTCGGCCCTGCTCAGTATAATTCCAGATATGTACATTTGAATCCTCGGTAACTGCGAGAATGTGTTTCCCGTCCGAAGTGAAAGATGCAGGAAATTGGTTCCCTGAATTTCGAATTCCTGGACATGCAGCAAACAATACTTTCAGAACACAACTCTTACATTCTCACTGGCAACCAACCAGCTTGGCGCCAAAAGGAATTCACATCAAAGGTTTCAGACACACCTTTGAATTTGCAGATGATATTGGATCTACAAAGTATTCTAACTTGCGAGTCAGCAGAAGTTACCATGACTTTGCTAGAGTCGCTCGGGCAGTACTGCATGAAGTTCGTACATCAGTTCTTAAGCACATAATAAGCACGAGTTCTTCTGGTGAAATAAAATTGAAAGCAAATGGTTACCTGAAATCCAGTTATTCTCTTGCGAGCAAGCTTCTTCTTTCCTGGCAGGCATACTTGTGAGCCCATCTGCAATTGATTACCTAACCCAAAGGAATGATAACAGAGTGTCAATTGCCAGCGAGAGTACATTCAAGAGGAAAATATAGTTAAGCTTTCACCAGGACTCCACATAAAGAAAGAAAAAAGAGTTTAGCCATGGATATAATACATCCACCATGGCAAAACTGCCTTGAGAAAAATTTATCACAGAAGAAAAATCTCCCAGAATATTCTCATTTTAGGCAAACCATAAGCACTTTTCAGCGATGAAGTGAAAATTTCGCATCCGTTTGACAATGCTAGAGATAACACTGGAAGGATCATAAAAGTCTATCTTTGATAGGTCCAGCTCTAGCAACCACCCTCTTTCAACAATAAGGAGACCAAGATCTCTAAAATGGGAATATTTGGCAATTTGTCAGATACAGAGACTTCACTATTTCTTTACTATGAAGCATGTTGATCATTTTTCTTAAGCTCATACTAAAATCAGGTTATTAAGCATCCTTTCAGGTTTATGCTCCAAGAATTTGATTACTATTCTCCCATCGCACACTAACAATGCATGTTGTCATTGACATTTCTGTAAGTTCACCATACTATCAAAGTATTAACTCCACTCTTTTAAAAGTTCCCTTGAATTCAAGCCCTATATCAAGCAATAAGAAAACAACTTACAACCCATTCAGTTATCTAACTTATGTCAAAGCTACCAGACGCAAATTAGAACTAAGAACCAAAGTCTTGCCTAAACTTCCAGAAAAAACACCAAACTATTTTCTAGCTAGAATGGAAAATATTAGTGCTAAACTCTTTCCTTGACATACAACTTTTTCACCAACAATGAACTGCCCCATACTTGTAGCATGAAAAGAAAGAAGCCTTCACTGTGCTTATATATTCACATGCAGAATGCTCATATAAATAGCAATTATAGGTTGAGGTTCGAAGAGCCACCCTCGACAATGTAAGTGGGTGGAGAGAGCACTAACAACTAAATTCAAGAAAATCTAAAGATCATTTTATGTCGTACGATTTATCTACCAAGCCCAACCACTTACCTCCCAACCCCCATATCCACCACCACAAACTGCAGTGATTAAACTGGTATGTTATCCATATATCATAGCTGATATCAAACCATAGACTTTGCTAGAACATAAAGGCTACTCAAGACCAGAAAGAGATAAATTGTCAATCTAATCTACCCTCAGAAATGGTTTCTATCACCCCTTTGCCCTCATCTCAAATAGGGGACGGGCAAAGAGGGGGAGAAATTTTGAGAGAATAAACATGCAAACTCATCTCGTAAACCACAAAAATAAGTGTATCATAATAACACTTTCACGGAGCATAATATACAATAGGATATGATATATTCAGCTCCATGAAAACCAATTCCAGAAAATTTAGACAAAAAACACAATCAGTTTCCAGACTTGTTAGTTTCTTAGACATAGGAGTGAGGGAAAAAAGCAAAGGGCAAAAAGAGAAGGTACGTCCTTACCTATTACATCATAAAAATGACAATTGCCATCCATGGATCCCACTACGCCCCCCTGGATCAATTAAAAGCAATAAATCAACGGAAGTCCATTAAAATGGCACAATATTTGAAAAGTGTAACAGCAATGCAATCAAACCTTTCCATCAGGACAATAACAAACAGCAGTCACTATTTCTTTTACATCAGTCCAATCGATTACTCGGCAACCATGCACCTCCCAGAGACGTATTTTCCCATCTATTGAACCGCTAATGAAAATGTTATCATCTATTGGATTGAATTCTACACAAGTGACTGCATAAAGAACACAACATTGACATATTGGTAACATGGTCCTTTACCATTTGAAAGATTTTTGAAAATACTTTAATATAAGAAGTAACCATAGAGTCAAGCTCACCATAGTTATTATGTGAATAAACGCCAAGGCATTGATCTTGCCCCACTTTCCAGAGACGAGCTGTTTTATCAACTGAAGATGACAGCAGATACTGCAGAAAATGATGTCCATTACCAGAATTACACTGTGTTCACATTGGAATATATTATATGAGGCGACAAAGGACGACAGTTAGTGTAACTGCGCCATAAAGATATTATACTGACCCCATTTCTAGACCATGAAAGGGCCAAGACCTCACCACTGTGTCCATGGAACTCGTGCAATGGTTTCTCCAATATCCGGAAAATCTTTGGTGGGAGGACGACACAAGCTGATTCTGGCGATTTCCTCATCATTTTTGACACACTAATTTTCTCTTTGTTGTCGTTCAGAGAAGCTAATTTTGACGTAGGAGTCAGTGAGAAGTATAAACAAGAGGAGTCACCATCATGTGCATTCAGGTTGTTTGGAATTTCATCTGCAATCACCCTCCACATGCGCACCATGCCATCTTTGCCAGCACTTGCTAGATACTGGCCACAAGGACTAAACTTCATTGTTGAAATTGAGCCCTCGTGTGCTAGGAACTCTTGCCCTGTGTGAAGTGAGGACAGTTCTTTTGACTCCTTATCACATGTGTGGACCCGAACTCTCTGAATGTTAGTACCTGTCTTTAAGTTGGATTCCTTGCCTTTCACTTTGTCCCCCATTGACTTCACCTTATTATGAGTCGCAACAGTTAGCTTTTGAAGCCAACTTCTTTTAGTTTTTGTCTTAGTATCAACTGTATCAATTCCATCCGCCGCTCTCCGCAGATACTTCTGAACCAAGGGCGATGGCCCAAGAGTTCTATGGAACTCTTCAGCAGTGAACAACTTGTTTGAACCTACTTCCCGTACTTGGCTAAGCATACCTTCCTGACTAAATTCATCAAGAACAAACTCTACTCCGTTGTCCAAATTTCTAATTTTCCAATGCAATCTTACTTCTGCTGCACCATCCTCATCCAATTCCAAAGCTTCATTAGAGTGGAAAGATTGAGAAGACCGACCTGAGAAACAGCTTTCTTGAGAATCTGAATTTGCCAGAACAGTTTCACCGACATCCCTTATTCTATCAACACTCATCTTTCTGTAATGAGTAGTAATACCACCCTTTTCTTTCCCATCAGGTCCGTCCCAACTTGAGCTCAAACCTATCCACTTCAAAAATCTATCACGACGTTCATCAACACTTTCTGGATCCTTATTCCATAAGTCATATCCTAAAACACACTCGTCACCCAAACTACGAACACATGTCTCATTGCAATCAGAACCCAAATCAGAAACAGAAGTAATCTCTTCACGGCTATCAAAGAAACATTCTTCTTCAAACTCACTATAACTCCCCATCATCCTTTGAACTCAAACTACAAAAACTAATAAATAAAAACAAACTCAGAAACATCCATTTAACAAACAATCAATCAACCTAACTAATGAGGTTTGACAAGATATTAACTTTCCTCATAATTTCACTATTTTCAACAAAATTGAATTCCCAATCAAATCAAATAACAAAAACAGCTCAAAAACCAAACATAATTCTTCTATCCAAGCAAAAAAAAAATCTCAAGAATCCACAAACATGAGCATAACCATTACTCCAACAAAAGATCTTGTAAAAGACTAAAAACTGATAAACCCATAATTCACAAATGCTTGTATAGTTCATCAAAAATCTGAAAAGGGGTTCATAATATACAATCAAGAAATGGTAAAAACACAAAAACAAACAATTTTCAGCGATTAAAGACAAGATTTTTCATACCTGAACTGCCATGAAATTATGAAAAAGAACCCCAGAAAAATCAGTTCACCGGAAAGCTGATCGACTGTTTAACATACACCGGCAAAATCAAGACTGAACAAAAAAATTGGAGAAAATCCAAACAATAAAATTAGAAGAAGAAAAAAGAGTATTAGAAGAAATCTGTTCCGAAAAAAATGAGTCGTTTATTATTCTCCCGTTTCCCTCTTTACTATTTTTGGCTTTTTCAGTCTATATAATTATAGTTATAATTATTAGTTGACAGTTTTAACCTCCAAATTGATGTGTCCGTTCAACTAACTCTCGTGGCCCTCCGTTTAATTAATTTATATGATATAGTTTAAATAAATAAATCGAGTTTAATATTAAAATTGTAATAATCTCAATTTGATATATAGTAGATAATATTAAAATTTTAGTCATAAAATTTAAATAAGATTATAATTTTTACAATTTAAGATTTCATTTGATATATGATATATAATACCAAAATTTTAGTCATAAAATTCAATTAAAATTATAATCCACAATTTGATTTTTTATTAAATATTGAAGAGGGGAAAAAATACTTTTAAGAAATATTTGATAAGTTTCCTAACAATATGCTTACGTGTTAGTTGTTGACCAAAATTAGTCAACGAATAATATTATACTCTTAATATATTTTCCATTCTACAATGTACAAACCCCCCTTTGAATTTTCAGCAATTGGGATGGGTGTTGATATTTATTATTTCAATTTCAATTACGAGTTAGATATTAATATATAATTTAATTAGATGATGTAAATGTTTATGAAGTATTATTAAAAAAAAATGTGTGAAAAATTAATATTATGCATGTTACATGCAACACTCACTTTAGAGTATTCAACTCATTTGTATATTTTTTTGATTAAATATTTATTTTTTTATCAAATAAATAATATACTTGATAAATTAATAAAGTATATTTAAATCAATTCAAACATAGGAAAATAAATTTTAACTATATATTATATTTAAAGGAAAAAATAGCTATATTTTATATTTATACATATAATAAATGTTCATTTTTATATTTTATTCAATAACATGGCCAACTTTTCTATTAATGAGAACGTTGCGATACATGTTGTAGCCAAACGGTGCATTACTATCTTTTTTTTTCCAGGTAATTTACTTTATCAATAATACAAAACTTTATTTGCATTTATTACGTAATATATTTAATATATTCTTTAATTTAAGTTAGGGCCAAATGCCACGTGATTAGTTGCCTTTATTCTATATGGTTTTGATGCCCAACCAACATATTCATTAAAGTTTCAGAAATTATTTTTAATGATTATTCGATATTTCATAATTACTTGTTTAATTAGTTCGAATATATGTGTATGGCTCATTTAAAAATAATGCTTCCAATTTCTAGCTTTAAGATGGTCGAATTGTCGAGATAGAACTAGCATAGAAAATTGAGCTCGATAAAATACAATAATTTTAATAAATTATATATATTTATGGAAAAGTATGTTCAATATGTATTTTTAAGATAAGTTTTTTTTAATTATACACATTTATTTCAATGAATTGTAAATTGTGTATATTTTATTTACTTACAATTGATATATATATATTAAAAGTAGATGTTATTTTTATGTGGTTATCTAAATTATTTAATAAATAACTAATAAAAACATGTATAGATTTTTTTAATTTAAACTTAAATTGAAAATATCTTATTAAAATATTTAATTATGAACGGAGATGTTTAATAGATATATGACTCCGTTCAAATATCTAAATAGAATATGACAATTTAAGGATAAAGAATTTATTAAGCCAAGAAATTCATTAAGTAAATTAGTGATCAAACAAACTATCACCGCCCACTTAGCCAAAAACATACAACACATGGCATGGGACATTTACAATAAATATATATATATATATATATATATATATATATATATATATATATATATATATATATATATATATATATATATATATA